TGTAAAGATACAAGAACCCCAGAAAGCATGCTGGCAAACTTGCCTTTGATTAAGGATGAGGCATCACTTTTGAATGTGATGATGACACAGGAAAGGTAGATAATGCAGGGTGACCAGTGACAGAAATGCTTAATTCAGGATAGCATGGAAAGCTGTCACAGGGAAAGGAAAAGTACTATCCCTATATTAGAGATGACACACTGTAAAATGTTATGAAGATTTTTTCCCAGTGGTGAGGACTAATAGTTTAGATTAACAAAACATTTTGCAAGGTAGTGAAGATAGTTTTGGGTCTCTGATTACTATCTGTTTGCATTTCATGAACTGACTTACCGCAGAAAGATAATATACCATGCACAATCTTGGAGACCAGCCTTGGATACGCTCTGATAGAGTTTTTTAGGCAGCAAAGGTCCCTTTGCATGTCTAGCAGAATTCGAGGCAGCCACAAATAGCTGCCAGAAGAGTCTCCCCATGCGGAGATTTCTTCTCCAGCATAGCATTTGCTTACTTGTCATGTCCTAAACCTAGCATCATGTGAGAAATATAGCAAAAAGGGGGATGTTAGATCACTTCATCTCTTGCTGGCAGTGACTCCCTCAGGATTGTTACACAAGTGAGACAAGATATACCAGTCCTCCCTTGCAGCTAGTATTTGCGTGGACTTAGCGTAGCTCAAGATCGTAAGAGGCACAGCTCTTACTCAGGGAGGCCGATCCTCTCTGCATCTAGGAAGGGCTCGAACACTTTAAGAATCTGCTCCATGACGTTTAAAAGCAAAAATAAAAAAACTGGGGCAGCTAACATGAGTTTGAAAGTTAACAGGCTTCAATTTGAGATCTGTGATTTGTTTACTCGTAACGTTCACATTCTGTTTTGTTTTGTTTCGCCTTTCTAAGACCGGCCAAATCACCTCTGTTTTGAAGTTGTAGAAGCGGTAACCCTATCTACGCGATGGGGTGGGCAACCGTTCTGCTTAGACTGAAAGGCAGATTTGTCTTTGAATGTTCTACAATCATTTTGCATTTTTGAAAATCCTTTCTCACTGGCTTTGTTAAAACGACTCTTCTGGAGGCGTTGTTGGCTGCTGGTATCCGATGTGGAGGATTGCTTCTGAGAGCAGATTTGTTTCAGTTGTGCTTTATGCTGCAGTAGGTGGGTAGCAGCAAGGGGAACTTCAGTGGACTAACAGCTCTCCCACTGGATGGGTGCGCTGTATCGGGGGAAGTAATCAAAACTGGCAGGAAACTAGCAGCTCTTTGTGTTTGTTTGGAGCAGAGAGGGTGATGTCCTTGCACCTATAAAGACAGTGTTGCTCTTACAGAAGAAAGAAGTAAAACATGTGCACTTTAAATTTTTAGTCAGTTCCAAGTATGTCAAGCTGAGCTAATAGTAACAGTTGGTGAAATGATTAAAGACCCTTCCAGAATTAGGAAGGTGGGGGGAGGATGCGTTATTTCATTTTTATTTTCCACTCTGCCACAATTCATGTCATGTGCACTGAGATCAGGGCCAGAAGATGCCTACATATATACAGCAGTTTAAATGAAGTCCAAAGCTTAATTATGAAATACAGACTTCAGTCTGAAAGACCTAAACCAATAGTTCTTGTAGTTTATTCTGCAGAGGGAAGTAAAATAAACATGTGCTCACACAAACATCCTGCACATGAAAGGGAGCTGAGTTTTTTGCTTGTATATGGCATACAGAAGCCAGTTCACGCAACGCGTAAGCAGAGACAGGAAAAACATGAATTTATCTATCCTACTCATTCTCAGTAAAGGACTGCTCTAACCCGCCAAATGGCTTAACAGTGGTATCTCTCACGCTTCCCTGCGATAGGAAATTAGGGAAGGTTCCCCAATATTTAGTCCTGTTTGCTTTTGCTCTTGCTCTGTTTTGTGCCTCGAGGTTTGGTCCAAGTTCAAGAGACCCATCTTATGCTGTCATTTTAGATGACAGTGTTATTTTTGTATCCTGATATTTGGACTTAGTAGCTGTAGTGTATATAATCCTAATCTGTTTCTTCGAATCAGTAACATGACAGTACCAAAACCAATGCAGTTTGTGGGATACTCTACATAATACCCCTAGTCGCTATAGTCATAGCATTTCATTTTTTACTGTTGCAGTCTTTACTGAGTGCACTATTTATCACAGTTTATAAGGAATGAGCTTTGCTGAAGCTATTAAATCACTCGAGTGTGCAAAATTATGGCACCAGAGCAGGTGCTATTGTCTCTAGTTCTTACAGAAAGAAAGAAAAAAACCCTTAAGCAATCCTGAACATTTATACCTAAAGGAAACAATCCTTTATATTAATATAAAAAGATTGTTTTGTACTCAGTCAAGTGAATTCTTGGCAGTCAGTTTAAACTTACATGTATATATAGCACACTGGAGCCTGCTAAGTACCTCTGTTTTCTTTATGGATGGAGCTTTGGTGCCAAGAGGTCTGCACCAAGTACGCGTGTAGATATGCTTGTATCTGACAGATTGTCCTGCAGTGAACGGCATTGTATATAGGATATTCAAACACGTATTGATTATGTGGTTCTGTAGTTTACAGCAGAATCATAACCTGATGCTTTTAAGTACAAATATGCAATCAATCTTCATATGAAGGAGCTCTGTACAAAAGAAATATTTTATGCTATACATTGGGTATCATAAGACAGCTCTTTTTAATCTCATCACTATAGCAGTTCTGTGAATCTGTACTGTTCTTACAAGCATCATCTCTGTGTTGACTATGGTCTGTAAACGTTAATAAAGTTCATAGTGTGTATAACTGTATTCCAGTTTCAGTACAAAGTCTCGTGGTCAGCTGCAAGGGAAAACCTCATAACACATAGCTGCAAAGTTTTTATAAGATTACTTTTATGTTTGTTACATATCTGTAAAACTTTCCTCAAGCATTGCATTACAGAATAAGAAACTTGTATTTGAGGAAGAAAAATTGGCATTTTCATTAGATTTTAGTCTGTCATGTAAAAAAGATTGGAATATATGTGCTGATAGGCTAACTTGCCTCTGGTGCTATAATGTCAGCTTCCAGTTGTTTATTTGCAAAATCTAGTCAACTTGACTCAACTGCCATTCCTAAATATAGAAATGGGTGCATAATTTGTTAAGACTACCTTATGTTAGCAATTTTTGAAAGTGACTAGGTTAGCTCATGATGCCTAGCCACATCAAAGATGCATCTTATGGTAGTACTATTTATTTATAAGTCTGGACAGGAGTACTTGACTGATTCTTCTGGAGCAGCTTTCATGTTCAGAAGCGTTATTCCGATCTTTTGGATCTATGAAAATTTGGAGACTATTTGGTCTACATATTACAATGACCATGCTGTTTACCCAGATGGTTGTGTCTGCATTCACTCTTTAACTCACATTTTTCCATTATTCAAATTCTTTTTCCTCTCATTCCTTGTTAGTGGAATTTCTGTGTTGAATGTATTTTGTTATCCCTCATTATATACGGTTTTAAAAAAAATTATTCTGCTGTCACACAACCTTCTTAGTACTCTATAACTATATTAGCTGTTGCTGCAGTGTGTGTGGTGTTTATTTTATGGCGGGGAAAAAAAGCTTATTTGAAACTAAGTTTTTATTCATCTTAAATTCAAAAGAATACTGTAAAATAGTCGTTGGAAAACTCCTTAAACAGCTGGACTTTAGCATTTAGATGTATTTGGCCAGTAATGCATGCAAAAAAGATCTGGAGCACATAAATATTTGTAGAAAGAAATATAAAGAAAATGGGCTGTGCTTGGTTCCCAAAACCTTATTGGAAGCCTGTAGTCAGCAAAGGCAAGGAGCCCAAGCTGAGACGCGTGGAAGAAGGAAGGAGAGCTGCACTGTTACTCCTCTGCCTCTATCTCAAATAATGCTTAAAAAGACTAATGCTAAAAAATAGTAAAGCAGGATACCAGTCCTGTTTGTTCAAGTTCTTAAATGAGGATTTCGCCCTTTATGCATCTCTGTATTCCTCTGTTCTTGCTAAGCCAGTTGCGGCTCGCTGTGCCACACCAGTCCTGTGCGCGTTTGCCCAAGAACAGAAAACACCTTTACTTGCCCTTCACTGCTAGGTTATAAAACCCTGCTTCATTATCACAGTGCTACAAACCATAGCTCCTTAGAGTGCTGTAGGGCAAATATCAAAGCCTGAATCTAGAACTGATCTATTAAGTAAAGGTTCAAAAGTTACTAAATGTGGTGTTTTATACCATAATGACTAAAGTGTAGGCGTGCATATACAAGCTTTGCATGAAACGTATGGACTCTTAATCGTTTTTTACCATTACTGCAGGAAACTCAGAGTTGCATTTAAGAAACGGTTTGACTTAAAAATATTTCTTCTAGCTGTAAACAACCACATGTGCTATAATTTCTTGGATCCTTTCACATACATTAATTTATTAATATTATTAATAAATTATTAATATCAAAAATGCATTATTATAATAAATATTGTACATAATATTAAAATGAAATTATGAATTCTAGGCTCTGCACAGTATTATTTCTTTTTACAATGTGATTAGCTTTGTTTTCCTGGAATGATGCTGTCTTGCCATATCTTGCTTCATTATTACTTGCTAATACTTCTGTTGCTGAAGTGAATAGGAACATCGTCAGTGACTGAGGATGATTGTGCTGTAAATGCTTTAAGTTCCATTACTGTCTCTAATCATGAAAGTTTCTTTTTCTTTTCTTTTTCTTACCTGTAACTTATATAGGTAAGGGAAAAAAACACTGAGATTAATAATAAGTGATTGAGTTTATCTCATAATTTTGTTGTCATTACCTAAGTGGTCTGATTTAGGCCACAGGATTGTGCCTCTGAAAGAGGTTTTTGGAATCTAACCTTTCTGAAACATTTAGACATATTTTTTAAATCTAAGTCTAATCACGAAATCTTACTTGAAGAAACTAAAGCACTTACACCTTTAATCTTTTAAAAAGACCACGTATATAAATCTCCTTTGCTAGGTGGTGCACATGAGGGTCTCCAGCACTTGGGTCCTTATGGCAATATCCCAAATATTGTGGCTGAGCTGACAGGCGACAACGTACCAAAGGATTTCAGTGAAGATCAAGGATATCCTGATCCTCCAAATCCCTGCCCCATTGGAAAAACAGGTAATTCTTCTGCTAGAGCCTTCATACATCTCTACTCACCGTACCGCTGAGTCTTTCAGTGCTGTACTAAGGAGAGTGACGCTTGTTCGGTCATGGGTGTGTTCTTTCATTCTCCACCCTAGCAGCCGAACTGTAAGCAATCGGGTATTTTAGATGAGATTATTTTTTCATTATGTGCAACTTTGATATTGCTGTATGACTGCTACAGAAGGTGAGGTCAAAGAAATCATCTTAACCTTCAAGTAGAAGATGGTGAGATTTATGAGCGTGTCTTATTCTAGAGGGAGTTCTTTTTTAGGCTGGCCCCTGAAAAAAAGTCATCATTCTGTGCAAATGAGATTTACCCTTATTTTAGAGACTTTCACTGTGCCAGAGGAATGAAACTGTCTGCCCTGATCTCCAACCCAGACCATGAGTCAATATTTAAGATACCTTGGCTCCAATCCACATGGCTTTATAGCTCACTGAGGGTATGTCTATGCCAAGAAATGGAGAACTACGTGGACATCCCCTAACTCGTTGCAAGCAAGCGTGCTCTGAAAGAGAGGTCATACAGCCTCCGAGGGTCAAAGTGGTATTGTGCCTGGGACACTCAATACATCCGTTAGCATGGAGCTATGCGTATACTAAGCCATGCGTGTGGCTAGCGCTCAGGGATCTTTAATGCAGCACTACATGTGCATGATATAGACATACCCTAAGGGAACCGATCTTTTTCCTGTTACTTGAGCCAAGGAACGGTTTCTAGTACTGAGAGCAGTAGTAAAACACCCATTGGCTGCCATGGGAGCTGGAACTGGGAATAAGCACTCCATTTTCTCTCATTTGTCATTTGTGAACCAAGAGATCCTTTCAAAATCTTTTCTGTTTAGTCTTCATTTATGTTACTTGGATAATGCAAAGCAGGTGTCCGTATTCTTATTAAAAAATGTTCTAACTAGCTTAGGAGTGATCAGAAAATAAGTATTTGTCATGAAAAGTTTTGCAAACGGTATTTGCACTTTTCATTCAAAAATGCAAAAAATTCAAAAAGTCCTCACTACTGCTTTCTATTACAGCCCATTTGGTGATAATGATTGCATCTCTTTCACAATAATAGCTAAGTTTCCTTTTTGTTTAATATAGCTATTGTTTGACAGGTTACAAATTATGTTTTTAGATTTCCTTACATACAAGCACATACATGGATTTTCTGTCTTGTGTGCTTGCCCATCAGACTTCAGTTAGTGATAAGATAACTAAAATAAAAACCTGGCATCCAGAGAATTGACTTTGAAAATCTCTTCAATTTTTCTTTTTTAGGTGAAATAAAAGTTGGTAGCTAAACAGATATGAACATGCAGAGAATTCTTAAGAAAGCACTGCCTAGTCAGATAAGCTGCTCTGACATAGGTACGCCGTGAGTGGAGATAATATCTACCAGGATTAGAGTAAAGTGTTTTTCAGAGCCTTAAATGGAAATTCAAGTGGTGACTGTTAAAACTGTATTATGCATACAAATTACCAGAGGCCTTCCTCAATCAGGTCTGTGGATTTGCTTAATGGAAAACAATTTTTCCAGTCACTGTCTGCATATGCACATTCCACAGCGGGAATACCTATGCCTCAAGCTCTTGAGCTTGAAGACTTTTTGACTAGCAGTCACAGAGGGCACATGTATGTCCAGCTACTCTTCATGTTTTCTAACAAAAGGCATAGACACTGCGATAGGGTCTAGCACATCTGTGTTGTCACCTGCTTCTCGGCTTGGGATGACCCCGTTGCTAGTGAGACTGAAATAACTTCTTAGTGCTTCTAGTTAAACTCTTCTAGTTAAATGATTCCTGAGTTAATTAGCCAGGATGGTTAGTTTTTCCCTGTTTCCTGTTGGCAGGCTTTTTTTTTTCGCCCGAAGAGAAAAGAAAGCAAGCAAGATCTACTGGATTTAACCTCCTCAGGGCATTGACTTTAATTCATATTTAATTTAAGCCTTTACTGCCTCTTACATCTACAGAAAAAATAATCCATCTGCAAATCTTTTTCCATGATGTTCACACAAGGACAGGAAGGAAAGTTCGCAGGTGTTATCTTCTAGAGTCTGTCTTCTAGCAGACCTCACTGCTTGGATGCCCAGCTTCAGGTCCCGGGTGGTAGGATCCCCTTGGGCATGCCTGAGAAGGACCTGAGGCTGCAAGCGCGCAACGTTGGTGAAGACGAGGGAACTCCAGGGGCAGATTCCATCCAAAGAGCCACTCTGGGCTAGTGTTTCTGAATCTTTGTTTAAAGCAAAGACCACTCCATTTTGGTAAGAAGTCCATAAGCAAATTTTAAAAAGGATATTCTGTCTGGTATGGCACCATCTGTGGAGCCATCCATGATGATTTAAAGGATGTTCCTGGATATCCCGGATCAGTTGCCAATCTTCAGAAGTGTCTTTTGCATAAAAGTTCAGCCACATTACCTTTTTAAGGGAACCTCTAATTGTAAATGATTTTCAGCCGTTTTGAACCAAGCAGCAAACCAGAAATGGAGTTCCATGAATAGCTACTTGGTAAAGGAAATTCTGTCTTTGCTCACAGAGTCATTCTACCATGAGCTTCAAAAGTATTGCTTAAACAATTTCTATCACTTCCTGTGGGCATTCAAAAATAACAATAGGATCTCCCTGAATCAGAATAACATGCAGTTCTACCTGAAATTAGTCTCAATCACTGATTTTAACAAAATGGGGTGTGGGGACTTGGAAAATAGTAGGGTTTAGTTCTGAACTCTCTTTTAATTGTATTAAAAAAAAAAAAACCTTCTAAATGTATCCTCACAAACTCCTTTCAAAAGAAAAAAAAAAGCTTATATTTTCCAGTCATCCAGTTCTTTAAATGTTTTTATTGCATAACTGCATTTAAGAATTTTGACCCTAAATATGAGCACGTTCCTAATGAGTTTTTAAAGTTACTAATTACTCAGTGCTTTCTAACATGCTTTTATAGTTGACGATGGGTGTCTAGAAAACACCCCAGACACAGCAGAGTTCAGCAGAGAATACCAACTGCACCAACACCTTTTTGATCCAGAGCATGACTATCCCAACATGGGCAAGTGGGTGAGTACATGATTCTTCCTTATCTTGCTGCATGTCGTGTCGGGTATTGTCTGCTGCATGGGATAGAAGCCACAAGGAGAGGACTACATTCATTGCTGGAAACTTATCACGCTAAGGGAAATTGCTTAAAGAGATGAACTTACTCTTAAAAATATAGAAAAAGCAGCTAAGAAAAATGGAAAATGGTTGATGAAAAGCCCATCAGAAGTAAACAGAAATCCTTGTCTTATTGCCTGTCTGAAAACATGACAACTATATATGTGCTTGATAAATGCAACAAAGCGCAAGTCAAACTACAGTGAACATGTAATCAAAATTAGTGCGGATTTTAGCAGAAGAGTTCAGATTATAACAGGGCCCTAATTTGAAAGGTTATTCAAATGAGGGCTTAGATGTTATAGAGTGCAGCAATGTCTAAACAGCTTTAAAAATCTAGGCCTAGAAAATTAACAATCAGGGATTCCCTGTGGCCTAAGGATTTGGGGGATCTTGATCCTGCCTCCTCTGTCCAGGCTGTGCACTACCTTTCAGAAGAACCGTTGCCAGGCAGAGCTCAGTGAGGCTATTTTGGAGCCTGGTACGAACAAGATGGGAGTCGGCGGGAAGCGTGAGTGGTGGACAGCTTGCCCTCGAGCAGGAGCAGAGCCCCCCAGGCATTGCTCGCTGGAGTGATCCAGCCTCGTCTCTTCCCCTTCCGTTCCCTCTTGCTTGCATGACAGCAGAACACCAATATGTTGTGTTGGAACAATATTACCATGTTGTTATAAAAAAACCCATTTTATACATTGCATATAATAAATACAGACAGCTATGCTAAGGGCAAAAACCTTGCTCTATGCATACAAGAACTTAAATAACTCCAGGAAGACTATTTCTGCAGGCTAGAGGCTCCAAAGAGAGCTCTGCGGCTTAATCTTAGATTACATCAGTTAAATGTCCAATCCTAAATCCATCTTCAGGCGCCAGGAAAACAATAACAATGGTCATAATTTATGCTTCTAGAACAAATCATGAAATCTCATTATACATTGTTATAACACTTTACTTAAGATTATGCTAACCCAGTCTTCCATAAGCATATATCGATAAATGGACATGTTTGGCAGCCTCTTCTCCTGCTGTAATCATGAGACAATGATTCATCATTTATAATCAAACCAGTATAAGATTTATAGCCTTAATTACTTATGTGAGTGCTAAATTTCTAGAGAGAATCATGCCAAAATCCGAATTTTGGAAACTGTTGTTGCATTCTAAGTAATTACCATCAAAGGTTTTCATTTTAAAAACACCAGATGGTGAACTTTATTATTTATGCCAGATAATGCTGTTAGTTTTCTTATTATTCATAAGTAATTTATTTTCATAATGCCGTGTTGAAGACTATAAAAACACTTCTGCAAATCCTTAGCCTATTGCAGTATTTCAGAATCGGGGTACATACTATATTGTCATCTACAACATATATACTTAACAAATGGTAGGTAATCTTTAGTGAATACTGGCCTTTTTACATTTCTCCATCCATCACTACTAATTCAGGGGGAAAAACTACCCACTCACACGGATTAAAATAGACTGCTAGGTCCCAAACACTAATCATATCTAGCTGCAGCATAGCCAAGTCCAGATCTTTTTAATTAGAGATGAAACAGCTGGTAACGTACATGATCAAATGTTCTGCCGAGATTCAGGAGTATTGCCCCAATTGCATCCTTGTTGTATATTACTACACATTAAAAAGATTAGGAAATATAGTGATATCTGTTTTTATAGCTGTTTTTGTTATTCTTCCTCCTCTGGAAAAATAAGAACAGAAAAGCACTCTAAAAATTAGCTAACTGAGATTTTATAAAGGAGCAATAAAGAGATAAAGCAGATGAGATCTTTCAGTTTTAGGTCACTTGCTGGCATCTGGATTAGATAGGTCATAAAAGATGAACACAGCAGACTGTGAGCTGCATGGTGAGTAGCTGTGAGTGGTAACTTCCCCCCCAAAAAGCCCCTGTGCCAGTAGTTGGCTCCTGCTTTCGCAGTCACCAGCAGAGATACCCAGGACCAGATACCCATAAGGGATGTAACTATTGCAATTACTGTACACATTTCCACAAAATCGCGGGTGCTGTGGAAGGCACTAGGCTGTCACTGCAGTCCGAAGCCCCCCAAGCTGGAGCGTCTCGTGGGCCTACGCGAGCCTCGGGGGAGCTTCTCCCGGTCTCCTGGTGCCGCAGAGGGATTGAGGCGGTCACAGTCACAGTCCCGCGGACACGTCCTGTCAAAGAGCCAATATGAATTCCTTACCCAAATTACGTTAGCAGGTTAATGAAAGATCTGCTTGTTTGTGAATAATGGGAAAGAAATCTCGGGGGAGCTTCTCCCGGTCTCCTGGTGCCGCAGAGGGATTGAGGCGGTCACAGTCACAGTCCCGCGGACACGTCCTGTCAAAGAGCCAATATGAATTCCTTACCCAAATTACGTTAGCAGGTTAATGAAAGATCTGCTTGTTTGTGAATAATGGGAAAGAAACAGCTATTTCGTTTGCTGATTTTGAATAGAAAGTGACTTAATGTCTTGCTTGCAAAGCTATGGGACCTGTGCGTTACCCCGGGTAAAAGGAAGCACTCCATAATTGCAGCGCAGACACATTTTGTAAGGATAAAGTAATTCTAGAAGTTCTCACAGTAAAGTCTATGATTCTATGTAGATGCTAAATACTATATAGAAATAATTGCTAATGCATTTGAAAGTTTGAATATATACATCATGCTAAACACGTACTGAGGTAGAAAAATTCTTCCTCTTCCTTCTCCTGCCTTTGATAGACCACTCCATATATCAACGTACTCACCTCTGGGAGTCTCAGGGCAGGCTCTGTTTATAGGCCAAGCAGCACAGCTCCTCCCTTCCACCATAGTGGAGAATCTTTTTTTCCTCTCATATGTGGAAAATGTGCAATGGGGCAATGGGAGTGGTTCAACAGAGGACTTTTGGAGGTTTCTACCTGAGTATGCAACAACAGTTTCTGAGATACCTGGCCACAAAATGCTTTATTTTCTCAGTTCAGGCTTTCTTTGCAGGAGGAAAGTATTTTATATCCAGCAGATGCCTTTTCTGCATCTCGCAACTCGACTCTTAACTGGTGCATCTGAAGAAGTCTTTTTGGCATCCAGAAAGACTTTCATGAAGACAATTTACCTTTTTTCATATAAATGTTTTTTTAGGTGTATTGAAACCCAAAGCGTTAACTGTTCCCACATTGGAGCGGGTTTAAAAAGAGGAGGGAAGTTCAGCAAGGTTTTCTGATATGACTCAGTACAAATAGAAAATTAAAAGGTGATGGTTTTTCAAGAATACTTCTTTTTACTGAAGCAGTGAATAACATTTCATTCTCAGGGCAGAAATAATGCTGGTTTTGGGTATCAGCTACATTGGAAGGACCCAAGCCAGTACAAAGAAAGATAAATGGAAAGGAGGGATAAAAATACACCACAAAATTGAACTCCGTGTTAAAGAAGTTGCCACTTCTTGCTTCCCAGTTTTAATGAAAGCCTGAAAGCAGTCACTCATAGATTTCATTTTTTTTCTAGTTTCAATTATTGTGAGCAATCTTAAGTGCATCCCTCTCTCTTTACCAACTCAGATTTATAAATATATGGATGGTAGTGAAGATTACTAGGAAGGGATATGGTAGGTCTGATACCCCTTTTCAATTTCAGGCAGTAAATGCAGATTATTTAGTTCAGTGTAATATGCGTGGCGTAATAGAAATTGTCATACTTGGGATTAGCGATAGACTGTAAATTGACTGATTTAGGGACAAGAAAAAGCCCAACCTCAAGGTGTGTGGTCTTGCTAATGCAGTTTTCCTTATCAGTTTTGCTCAATAATTGTGCAGGTCCAGATTACAGAGCTGCTAATTATTGTTGACGTAAACTAATTTCAGTGACCTCTGAAAGATCTACAGGTAAATCTCTCTGGCGGTAGTCAGTTACAAGCGTCTTAACTTTGGCATTCTTCAGCCCAAATCCCAACCCATAGTACCTAATCCAGGTGCCTGGGCAGGGTGCGAAGGAAGCTCCAGGAGCAAGGGGACAGTGGCCCACTATGCCGCAGTGATGCCCGCAGTCCTGGGGGGCCTAAGGTTTGATGCGACTCCCCCTTTATGTTTCTTCTGAATCAACATTTCCTCTTTGAAAGTGCAGCATGCCTCCAGATGAGGTTTATCTTTATCTTCAGAAACTCCTTGCCATGTTTCTAAGGTGGAGGACGAGAACAGTCAGCTCTTCCAAGAAAATCAAGCAGCTGACTTTATCAGGCCTTTACGTGGTGGCACACATCTTCACAATCGCTCTCACCACACAAGCGCACACATAGCTCATGGTCCACAATCTCATTTGCTTCGCTCTACACATAATACTTAAAAGTAGTAGTTGTGGTCTTGAAACATTTGCAGACAGACTAAGCAAAATATGATTTTCCTGAGCAGGAACAGTTCAATTGGAAGGAATTTTCGCGAGTGATAGGAATGTTAGCTGCAGTAGTCATGACATTCTTTTTGTTTCAGAAACAATATTTTTTCCTTTTAATGAAAAGTATAAGGTCAAAAAGTTTATGAAGAGAGAAACTTCAGCATGCTTTGTTTCCTGCAGAGAATAATTTACACATCTGTGGGGTTTTTTTTTGTTTTTGATGTTAAGTTTCCCTACGTGAGTTTGCATAAGTGACTAGCCAAGAATGTCTCCCTTGGCCAACTTCATCTCTGTTCCCTTTTGGCACAGCTGAGATAAAATAACTGAGGTTAGGCAAGAAATAGGCCTTATGAATTTGGGGTTTAATGTACATGAGAAGTACAAAACAGACAATTTTGGCAGATTACATTGTAACACTTGAAAATGTTTGTTTTTTCTCATATCAAGGCTGCAGAGAGGGTAGAAATGTTTGGTGAATTTGTCTCTCACTAGAATTACACTTTCTATTTATATGACCAGCGTTAGGTCAGTTGTTTATAGCAGAATTAATGGCCTTGTTTATACAGTGTTCTGCTTTTATACATGTAATTCTTCTCTCCTTCCATTTTCAGGTTAGAGTTTGGTTTTGTTTTTCTTCATAATACACAATTGAAACAAAATGTGTTGAGCATGTGTGTGTTATTCCAGACTTTATTAGAATTCACTACTTGTATGAAATATAACAATATGTGGATGCACTTATATAAACTATGGTCAGAGGGGTTTTTTTTTTTCCCCTCATCATCATAACTTTCCTTTCTGCCAAGATGTTTTTGGCAGTTTTTAAAAGGTTCACTCTATTAAAAATGTTATAGACCAAATGGTTTTTAGAAACTTTATTGAGGGCACTACTTAAACAAAGAAAGGGTTGGCACTGAACTGATTTCAGCAGAACTCTGCACTGGAAAGTGTTGATATCTGGAATGAAATAAGCAAAGACAACAAAACAGTAGGAATGACACTGACTGTAGTTTTTAAAAGGAATTAGAAAATTGCTTGTAAAAGGAAACATTTTTGCTCCTGTACTCGTGTCACCTCAAATGTCAAGATGTACCAGAGACAGGACTCTTTCTCACTCGCGCTCTCTCTCTCTCTCTCTCTCTATCTCTTTTTTTTTTTTAATAAGTAGATGTGTTTTACATGTGGAACATCCTATCTATATCATGATACCAGCATGTACTTGAAGCGCTTGTGCCCTGAACACAGGCAGGCATACAGTACAACTTAGAGGAATACTACTGAGTTTTTAGTTGTTACTGATACTGACCGTTCCTGAAGAACTGCAAAATATTAGCAGCAGTATCCAAATGTCTGTTTGTGGTTTATCTTTCCCTTAACTTTACAAACCTGTCTAAACTTGCTTCTAAAATGTTCACATGCTGATATTTAAACATTAATACTGTTAAAAAAAAAAAAAAAATTTAAGTTTAATGAATTTGATGGCTGCCTTTTTTCCCTTCCAGAGCAAGAATTTACTCTTTGAGAAGATTAATGGTGGTCCAAAAAGAAGAAAGAGGGTAACTATTAGAACACTTCGTTGCCGCTCTGTCATCTATAGGGCTAATAAAAATTAAATTCATATTGGTGGAATGAATAATTGGTTTAATGCATCTGCCTGATAACTTAGATAATGCCTAAAGTTGAGGCATCTCTGTGGCAAACTACCACAACAGGCTCCGTGGCAATCCTGAGTACAAGATGTATTTCTCTAAATAGCCTGCTGCAGGGCTTTCAGAAGATGCACTTGAATGCAAAGCTTTAATTTAAAAAACTTTGTATTATCTGTCTTTTTAATTTGATCCAGTTTGCGCAAAAACATTTTAAATTATTTGAATTTCTTTTAAACTAAATTCAAAAAAGTTTCCCACTAAAAATAGAGGTAAAATTAATTACTGCTACTCATGCATGTCAGTAGCTGCTTGGGTGTAAATGACGGGAGAATTGGTGTCATCATTGATGTAACTAGATTGACTGATACTGACAAGTACACTTAGATTTACCTCAGAATTAAACTGATATCACTGTGTCTCAGCAGCTTGACCAACAAAGATGAATGGAGTCTCATTCTGCTGGCCCTAATACAAGGAAGGAGGTCCACATATTGCAGAGAACTTTTGCACAGTCCATCTCATTATGTTCTCTCTTTTTTTCAATAGTTTAAGCCTTTCTTCTCTCAAAAAGTCACATCCAGGCAGAGTCTTTAGCTTTGCCGCTGGTATATTTTTTTTGCAAGAAGAAAACAGAGCTTTACATTTTGAAGTGTAACTCTTTGCCAAAAAATAACTTTGTAAAATATGACAGCAGGGTTTATATTGTAAATGGAGTAGATTCACTTTGGAATAACTAAAGCATAAGATGATTTTTTTAAAACTTTCAAACTTAGTCTTTGCCAGAAAGCGAGAAGATGAGTTGATTTCTTATGAATCACATATCATCAGTAATAAACATTTTGCAATCAAAAGTTAATGGTCTAGCTTGAGGATTCTTATACATGCGTGTATAATACTTACTTAATAAGGCTTAGTATCTGCCTCCTGCTTAGTTTGATTTTCAGGTTTGTTAACAGAAAAGCAAAAAGTGGTGACACCTTATTTTAAGTCTGTAAAGTAAGCAGAATCTACTCTGAGAACATTTATGTGGAATATTTATTAATAGTTAGAACAGAATAGCATGATCAGGTGGGATTAGTGCAATATATACATGAGAAAAAGAAGAAAATATATACCTTTTCTGTCTGTGTGCTGACTGAGGTAACTGGATACAAAAGAAATAATGGCTGGGAGGCATGACAGCTCTGTGGCCAGGGATAGCCTAGAACTTCGTAGGCAAAGCTTCAGCTCCTTGCTTTGCAGCAGATTTATTTTCTTAGCAGAGGCATGTCATTTAAGGGTAAATTCAGTATTTAAAATACTGTTTTGAGAGTAATACAGTAATGATTGCTAATACAGTCATGAGCAGTTCACGATTCTCACTTTATCAGCAAAAAGGCTAACCTTGAGATGTCAGCAGCAGGCTGCAATTTTCTAGATCTCAAAAAGCCCATCTGATACCCCTCCTACCACCTTCTGTGGTCCATGCCCTCCCACACAAACAAGTTTCTTGCTGAGGACAATATCTGGCAACAAATTGCTCCTTTGAATCACGGCTTTCCAGTTTTACATTAGGAGCAAGTAGCCTTTGGAGAACTGCATTGTCCATGTAGAGGAACTGCTGTGTCTGTGCATTGCTATAGAGTGACAGTCACTGAGGCACTACTCAGTTCTACAAAACTACTTGTGCTAAGTATGTGTACGTGTTCGTATATATATATATAAACTCACATACATATAAGAACACACACACAGACATATATATAATCCATACATGTACTCAATAGAAGGCAGAGGTGTATATTTAGCATTTGCTACTGTGTTAATTTTTTGCAACTTTTACTGCGGAAGACAAGGAGGCCCACAGTGACCTCTTACTCAACTGAAGTGATGCTGCCTTTTCTCAGTTTCTATACGTGACCAGTGTTTGATCCAGAATCTAAGAATATTGTGAACATAACAGGAGTTCTTCTATAATAACTGAGTCACATTGCTGTGAGATTTGGAGTTGTGCACAAACGTCCTCGTGAACCATATTATTCCGAATTCAGCACAGCTGTATGGGATTTAAATTAGTCAAAAAATTTTGCTTTATATTTTGTGTTCTCTTTTGTCAGTTGAGAGAAGGGTTCAAACTTTTTATGTGTTCTCATTCTGTTCTACTTTATTTCAAAAAGTAGCAAGCAAGTACCATTCCAGAAAAAGACCAATTAATCTTCCTAAGAATCTTCAAATAATTCCTAGAAGTTAATGTTAACAGCTGAATTTCACTAAATTAACATTAAAGAGAACTTCTTTAAACAAATACAAATAAATCATTTACATGTGTCTTATTTTTAACAAGCCTTAATTTTAAGCATCAAATTAGTGTTTGTTTTATTTTCAAGGATTTTCCACATTCATTCCTGGCTCTTAGCATTTTTTTTTCCACTTGCAGCAGGCAAAGCAATCAGTAAATAATACAACAAAGCAAGGAGGATAGCGCTACAGTATGATTAAATATTAATGATAAATTCAACAAATATGGAAAAACCCAAAGGCTTAGACTCATGTGAAGATAAATCCCAAATCTCTTTTCCAGAGATTTGACAAATACTTGGGATATTTCAAAATAAATACTTTATCCATGTTTTAAGTTTTTTTTTTTTTGCCTACTTCTGAATCGTAGGTTTTAGTGAAATAAGCATAGAAATACCTCAAGAAAAGTAATTTCTATGATATAGTCAGCCTGACAAGAATCAGAAGACACCGGAGAATGCACATCCTCGTGAGTTTGTCCTTAGAGAGGCAAATAATATTTATTGACATCAAAACCCAACACACTACAATTTCTGCCCATATCCATGAACAAGAGAGTACTTGAATTCTGTTTACAGTGACGCTGTAAGAGACCTGAAAGTGGGTATAAACAGTATTTAAGTTAATTTTAAAGCTCCATTAATCTAGCTAATAGATGCAAATACAATTAATACATTTTATTTCGCTGGTATAGATAAAATTCAAGCAGAGGCTTTCTACGTTACCATGATCTCCGAACAGGTTTAAGACAGGATCTGCTCATCTTCAGTCTCACGTTGTGCTGCTTACATGGTGCAAAGTGAAGTTAAACCCTCTCCAGGGATTTTTCTTTTCAGAGTTCCCTTGTTCTGGCAATGGTATGAGAGCCATTTCCTATGCCAAAATCTTGCTTGGCTGTGTTTCTGTGCCAGAAGAGTTTTTATCTCAGCATCAAGAAAGGACGTGAGGAGGGGTTTACTGGTGAGGAGATGGGCTGAAGAAGAGACTTTGGTGAAAAATGGTATTGCAGTATCTCATTTATCCCCAGCATAAGGTCCATCAGAGACTAATGATTTAAACTGAATCTTACCTGTCCATTTCTATCGAGTTCTGTCCTGCTGCAAGAATTAGAGAATCTGCTCAGAGATCTGCTACTTCTCTGCTGAACTGAGAAAAGGGGGAGTGGAGCAAAAAGACAGTGTTTAAGTCAGCCTGTCCTACATGCTGGACAGTCCTCCTTTACTTGCCCACACTGTGGAGTATATAGCATTTATTCTTTTTAGTGGTCCGAATTAAATTCTTGCACAAAAAACCAAAGCATTGACTGGCTTTTAGATTTACTCCCTGGGAGCAATTTCTTATTTTCAGCCCATAAATATTTGACAGATTAAAAATATATATATCCACTATTCCTAGCTACCTTCTATAGATCTCCCTGTTTCTAATATGTCCGCCTGTGTGAGTGTGTGTGCATGTATATGTATACATATACATGCACACACACATATATAAATGTATTTTATATACACACACACACACAAACACACTATCTATTTATTTATTTTTTAACTTTTCCAGAGTGTGAACCCGTATCTGCAAGGACAGCGACTGGATAATGTTGTAGCAAAGAAGTCTGTTCCACATTTTTCAGATGAAGACAAGGGTCCTGAATAAGTACAATAAAAAAGAATGATGAAGACTCATGCCATCTTCTGCTAGATCATAATATTGCTTATATATAATCATCTATTAAAATCCTTGTGAATGGCAGCATGTTTATTATTTATATAATTGTAGATGAAAAACAGCTGTATTTATAACAGTATGTTCTCCTAGATAACGAAAATACGGTTCTGCTTTTTGTTAAGTTATGGTAAAAGGACAGTTTTGTTGTTTTTATTTTAGTCATGGAGCAAACTTTAAAAATATTAGTCATTTTAATAGCTAACGTGAGGTAAATGGTCTTAATGAGCAGCTTGTAAATAGGGAGAGGTAAAAAAATGCCCAGTCCGACTCCAACATTTAATCTTAAATTTTACTATGTTTGACACATGAAAATTATAGTTTTATGTTTTGTTCACAAATATTGTTACTTAGCAAAGACAAAGTATTTATTTTACCCAGAGAATTTTGGCTTTTGGTCTATTTTAATAAACATTTAAGCAATCTACAAGGTTTGCAAAGTGACAGTTTCCAAAATATTTCATAAGCTAATCTGTCTCAATTATTGCTATGCTAATTTAAAAATGAAAGAACTGATTTTTGAGTTTAGCCACTAGAATATTTTTCTGTTAGTTTTAATCGTGCTGTGTCCACACCTTTCCTGAACACTTCCATATCTTATTTCCTTATCAATGGTACTTTTAGAAATTAATCCTCCTCCCTTTTTTTTCACTTTGAGTAACAGCAACATTTGTAAATTATGAAGTGCTTAAATTATGTGTCCTTGGAATATTATAAGTGAAGATGGAGACGTTTGTCTATGTTATTAAAGCTCTATCAACATACATTGACTCCAAACGCAGGATCATCCATCTGATGGTCTTCTGAAAAGCTACGATACTCTAATAACAATGGGGGCCATCACTGCTCTTGAAACTGCTCCAGGAAGCTTAAATAGCCTTCTTCCCTGAGGAGCTGAACTTTATGCTGCAGCAAACTGAGTTCCCCCTTTCCTAAAGATGCACTGAAAATATAACATGATATAAAATGTTGTTATTTTTCAGGATGCATCTGGAATAGTAAAAACCAAACAAGCCACGTGCACAAATGGCATTGGGATTATGGAAAATAACATTAGTTTCTAGCTTTGAAAAATTCTATACTTTCCTTCACTAGTCTTACAAAAAGACGCAGCAAAATAACAATGACCGCTTACATAAAATATGTAAGAAACTAATGGAAACTGAAGTTCCTCTCCACATTAGGTTAAAGTTAACAGAACATCACGAATCTGTGCCTGGCGTTTGCTTCTCCTGTCCTAGCACTTAGTGAATAATTCATAATAAATTATGTATTCACAGAGTTGTTCCTCTCTCAAATTATTTATGGGTAGATTGCACAGTTCTGTAACGTTCTAGGCTAAATTATAATGTCTTTCATCATAGTTCCTGTTTTCTTGTAAAGAATGCTAGAAGAGAAAATTACTCTAAAGAGTATGTAATGTAGTGAGATTTGTAACTGCGTGTGACGTGAAAGGTGAAATGCTGAGTTCCTTCAACTTCCAGTGCCTTAAACGGAGGACGGGGGTAACCCAGCTGTTCACGTGGCTGAGCTTGTTTTCTCTGCTACTTACACTTACTCTTTAATCTGTGCTCCTGCTTATTCTTCATTCAGGTATTGAGAGCTGCAGAATGCATAAATGACTAACCATCATCATCGTTATAAAGTCTCTCCAGAACAGAAGGGGCTGTAGAGCAGGGCAAGAATTTGAAAGCAGAACTCCCCATTGACAGCCAGTGGCTCACGGTAGGCAAAATATTAATTCCCTTCTACCCGGTCCTACAGCCAGACACTGTTGCAGTCACAGTCTAGTTAGTCAAGGGCTGGATTTCCATTCCTAAGAAACTAGTATTTCTTTAGATACTCAACTGTCTTATCTACTTTTAAAGTAATTTGAGCTACACACTGGCCTTATTTTATTAGCTACAGTAAAATCCATTTTAATCACTTCCTAGATGAAAAGCAACAAGCGAGAAGGTGACTCATTTTTCAAGCTCTTAATAGGGACCAGCACACAATAAAAGGTTACATGTGGTAACTGCACGGCTTAAAGAGGGAGGGGTAGGGAGGTACGATTTGCTTAACAGTGTCAGAAATCCCATGTCCGATGCCTTTCAGCACCCCAGCTCGGTTAGCTTAAGCGGCTGCGTAGCGATGTGATAATCAGGCACTGCCAACTGGCCAGAGGAGTACAGCGATCCCTCTCCGTACGCTTCGTTACCCTAGCGCGGCCTGAGGAGCTGCCCGCCCAGCTGCGCTAGATCTGCACTGAGCAGCCGAAAGAAAAAATGATACAACTTAGAAATTTTTGTCTTTAAATACAAACAAAATGAAACTCTTTACGCTGCACAACACGACGACGTGCCTTACAGGAGCTGCCTGCTAGATGAAACCAAATGTCTCGCAGTAAGCAGCAATCTGCTCATTCCGTTCAGCAGATTTAGTGTTTGGCCAGGAAAATTCAACAGCATGACTGTGAAATTTCAACAAAAATATAGCTATTATACCATGATTCTAATTTCAGCTCCATGGTAGAGCAGCCTTCCTAACTGGGATTGTTAGTGCCGTTTTCATTAAAAAACAAAAGCGAGCTAAAAGTCAGACACTCCCAACATGTTCAAACATTTAGATGTCGTTTTTATACAAAGAATCCCCACAGTGCTGGTCTTTCAGAATCAACGAATAAAGACACCACATATCCCCCTCAATAAGAGCTCACACCACCAAAAAGATATTTACAAGGAGGTGAACAGCTGGTCAGCTCTCACAGGTATCATCATCTGTTTGCCTTTATGATACTTGTACATTAAGTAGCTCCTGTATTGCTATTGCTTAGAATTTTCATTATCTGGCAATCAGAATGTTTTTAGGTATTTTACAAACTGCAAGTGTGTTTTTGAGATACAATTTGCTTGAAAGAAGCTATACAGAGTAAAGTATACTGCCATGCAACATTATTTTTGTCTGGTAAAGCAGTGTTTATGATGCTAGTAAAAAAAAATAAAGCATTATCGAGCATATTAAACTATGTAATTAATGATACCAAACTTACTCTGGGGGTATATGTGTGTATATAAACACACACACATATATATGGATACACATTTTTAAGATAATGTGTTCTTTTAACATAAAATTCAGTAGTAAAGAATATACAGCTATAAACTTACCACAGAAGAAAGCAACATAAAAATGCTCCGTGAATTATTTAAGAAGGGGAAAAAGTGATACGCTTCTTTTCATTGGCACATTTGCAATCACCTAACAAAACCATGTTGATAATCTTATCAATTCAGCAACTTATGAGTAAACCACAGGAACTCATTCCTGGGAATGTGATGTCCTGAGAGTCACTTACGATGTCACTTACTTACAGGACTGTAAGTAAAGCTGACCTGAATCTTATTTTGTAAAAATTTAATGAAGCTTTTCACTGAGGCATATCTTCACCTGATAAAATGAGGGAGGACATGGGCAGCATGGACAATCAGGTAAGTTTTAGGAGTCTGAAGTGGACAAAGCCAGATTTAAGCCCCCTTTTTCCCCAAATACCAGGAGTCGAGGATGAAGAAAGCACTCTATTTTTTTTTTTTTGGACTAAGAAGAGATTTGAATCCATGCCCTCAAATCAGGCCTCTAACCAGTAGCTGTGTGAAAGTGTTGAAAAGGCTTTGTTTTCATTTTCATGCTGTACAAAAATGAATTTTTGAAACATCTAAATTTATTGAAAAAAAAGCCCATAGCAAAAGTAACCCAAAACAAACTTGGCATCTTCTGGCCATTTTTTGCTTCTAAGCTCACTAGACCAACTCTTTTTGCATTTGTAATACTGTAACACTGGTGCTATGAATTAATTTTTATACAAGTACTTCTTCTTTACATGGTTGTAAGAACTGAAACCAGGGCTCTGGTATTTCTGGATCATTAGGATAAAGAGTTCAAAGATAACTGTTCTGTCAAATTCACAGATTCAGATTTATGTGCTGCTTGGAAGGAGAAAGGGAAGGTGGCCAGATGCAGAAGATGCTACCACAACCAAAGAAAGATGTAAAATGTACAGGGAAAGCACACTTTCACATGGCACTAGTGGGGATGAGTGTGTTCACTGCTTTATTAGCTACTGCAGCCTAGCTAGATCTAAGCTCCCAAGTCAGAAGCTGTTAGTACTGTCAGTGAATTAGAGGACAATACCTTCAATTTTCAGACACCTGAATCCAAGGTTTCTGGCTAGCGTAGCTGACAATTAGATTGAGTTATATATTCACTGTGCTTGATGGAAATAGGAAAGGAAACTGATATGCCTTAAAGAAAAGAAAGAAAAAAAAAACAAACACAGTATCAAATCCAATGCCACATGCGTGCATATACATACACTTAAAAAGGCAAATTCGGTTTTATTTAAGCAATGGAATTATCTTCCATAATCTTAAATAAGTACTGCCTTACTGCTTCACTTTAAAGGTTAGCCCTTCCCTTAAAAAGCAACGACAGTGCATTCTGTGACAGCTACTGAAGTCAGTGACAGTAGCAGCTTGACGCAGCTGACTCACCCTTACAACGTGAGTGAATAAACGCGTTCCCAGAGCCAAAGACCGTTTCCAACCACATATGAAGACAGCAAGCTGCCTGAAGTCCGCAGCCACTAACAGTGACCTACTTAGATGTAAAGTAAATAAAAACTAAAAAGAAAGGTAGAAGAAGAGGTTGGAATTACCACTGCGGAGGACCCTGTGAACCACAAGTGTGGCTGACTGGCCCAGGACTGAAGTTCTAAGCCAAGGTTTCCAAACGTGAGATCATGAAAGGGTTAAGTGAATCATTTCCCAGGTACATACAGAGCCTGGGTCTGCCACACTCGAGCCTTCTGCCATTAGGTGAAGAATGGGGTTGAATTCCAGTTCGTCGTCCTAATTCACCATGAGAAGGAAGTATGTAGTGTCTGCTCATGTTTGCCTTATTTATGATGCTAACTGCTTTGCAGCGATTACGTGAATCTTGATGGCTGGAATAGCTGCTAGCCATGTGTTCAACACATGGGAGCATAACAAATCTTAAATGATTGTGAATGTCATGGCAGCGGCATTACCAATTGGAACTGAAAGAGTTTTTAAAATCTTGTTTGACTAACAAGATCTATTTTTTGTGTGTGTGGTAGAGGTGGGGGAAGGGATCAGAGATGGTAGGAATTGAGGAGGGCTTCAAACTTTAAAGATTAGGTAGACTGGAATCACCTCTTCTTACTTTTTCCTTCTCCCTTGAAAGATAATTCCTATTACCAAAAGACGTGGAATCCAGCTCTTATTACACTGTACGGGTGTTTTTTACATTTAATTGCAGTGTTTCTTCATCCTACTCTGCTCTCCAAGAAAAACAGTAGTGAGAGTCAGTGGCTGAACGTCATTGTAAACTGAATGCGGTAAAGGAGAAAGCACCAAGCAGACAAATAATGTGCAATTTGCTAATAGTCCCAAACTCCCCCTCCTTCCCTAATTGGGTGTCATTCATTTATAGGTCAGTAAGCCCTGACTGTAAATGTATAAACGCTGTCTGCTTTTATTCCAGAGCTTTGTTCTGAACTTAACCACCATATAACAATGTAACTTTTAGGGGGGAGTCACCAAAGATCCCCATTACAGATAGATTTTTTTTTTTAAGCTCTGGATATCTGAATATCTAAGAGTTAGATCACAGAAGGGTATACAGTTTTGATGTTGAATTCAGTCTTGATTCTCTTTTAATTAATTCTTTATTCTGAGAAACGAAATACACTAGCACTTCTTCAGTACATTATCTTCATTCTAATGCCCAAAAGTCCTCTATATGTGGCTGAAATTGTAGTGAGACAGCCCTTACAGGACACAGGGAAATGTGATTCTGGTTATTCATGGGCAAGATCTTTTCTACACTTTTCTACATTTGGAAATAAAATAAAATAAAATACCAGTAGTGTGGCATTTTGAATTTCCAAATGGTCAATAAATACCTCCCCCCCAAAAAGTCAGGTCATCCAAAGTAGCACTAATAATTCAGCATTGGTTAGTTTTTACTTCCTCTCGCTCTCTCTTTTTTTTTCTTGCGTGTTAAGAACACTGCAACCAGTGACGAGGTCAATTGCAAAACTTATTCAGTATCATTATTATATTTTATGCATAGTCAATAGGTTATTGGTTAAATTCCCCAACAACCCAGTAACTCAGCTGCCATGGGGGTTATTTGCATACATGGTAACATGTGCATGCACAATTAACAAGAAGAGAAGTTTACCCTGGAATTTCTACCCAGCCCCACTTCTGATCCCTTAGAGCTTCTTCCCTCTGCTCATGTGTTTCCAGCATTGTTGCAGCTTTTGCGACGGCTATGAGTCCCAAGTTATGGGTTATCCAAGAACTTGTTTTCAAGTGTTCGTATGAGTGTAAGTTATCCAGCGTGCAGGCATGTGTAATAAGGTATAAAAATAGAGTATGTTTCTTTCAATTTAGAATACATGAATTCTTCTCTGCTCTAGTAGTTGAGGCTATTTTCTAATTCCTGTGGTTACTAACATTGCCCACTGTTTTTAATGTTCTTAGCAGCAACACATGGCCCCTCAAAATGATAGGAATTATCCACCAACTTGAAGAGAAATCCTTCACAGACTGCCCCTAAAATATCAGCTGCTTATTAAAAATACTTTGCATCTTTGTTGCTGTCTATCTACAGGTCCTCAAACTAGAGTTTTACAAAACTAGAAGGTATTTCCAATTGACAGATGGGTGAACAGAAGTGAACAGGTTAAGAGTCAGAGCCACAAAAAGCTTAATTGTCCATAATGGGACTTGCATGTAATACAAATACCAAAGTCCAAGTGAGCGATCCTCAAATCTTGTCCCCCCTTGTCCGTGCACAACTACGTTTGTCAGTAAAGTTCCTCAGGCACCTAAACTTCTACCTCTGTGCATGCCCAGGTCTGTCTGAAATTCAGTGAATCTGCATAGCTCAATACCTGTCTCAGTCCTAAACCTAGCCTGGATCCACAAACTTGGCAATCTCTTGCCTATACTTCCTGCAGGAACCAACCTGGTAAGGACCCACTTCGCACATCCCTGCAGGACCACGCATTGCACAAACCACCACAGCAGAAGCAGATAGTTTAATTTTAAAAAGTGTGTCTGGTAAAGTTGTGGCAAAAGAATCAAAGATCTAACGGGGCCAGAGAAGGAGATCAAGAATGAACATGAATTTGTCATCTAGAGGTTAGGAGGGCAGGCTGAGCGTGAGGAAGGATAGGACAACACTTGGGCTCTAGCACATCCTCCAAGGACTGGTTAGGTAGCTAGCCAGACACGGGGAGGAAAAAAAAAAAGTCTTAGAGTAGGAACAGAAGACCCCAAGACCCCAAACACCCTTCCCCC